TTTAAATTTCTTTTTTTACAACACAACAACTATAAAAGTTACTTTTAGCATTTTTTTTTATTTATTAATAAATTTTAAATATTTTTTAATTCTTTTTTTACAACACAACAACTATAAAAGTTACTTTTAGCATTTTTTTTTATTTATTAATAATAAACATGGTGAGATAAGCAAGTGTTATCCTACAAATCCAATGAGTTTGACTACATAAATTTTTCGGCCAAGCAAAAGTCATCCAGTTGCTTTAGGGAGAAGAAGATAGGAAGAAAAAGACCAAGATTATGACAATAATAATTATTGTTCAAAGCATATAAATATATATACCTAAATTCAATTATCAAGTAATCAAGTTAATTTTAAAATAAACTACAGAATATTAGGCCTATTTAGTATAGTTTTTTCAAACAGAAATCTAATAATAATAAAAATAAAAATAAAAAGAAACTAGAAGTACTTCTCCCAACTTTCACATAATCAACATTTTTAGCCTATTTAACTTATTTCTATTAACAAAAGTTGCACCAAACATTTTAGCACAGAATTCCAAAATAAAAAATAAAAACTATAAACTGCTCGAATATACTGCACCAAGCAACCAAATTATTAGATAATCTCAAAATTTATATAATTTTACTTTGACCCTTCATTACATCAAAAAAACCTTATTAGCCCATTTGATTTTGAGTATTTACAACCAAAAAAAACAAAAAAAAAAAGTAGAATTTTAACCCAAAATATATTTAAATTTTACTTTGACCCCTTTGCACAATTTCATGGACCGCCACTATCCCTTTTGTAGTGTATTGTGTTGTCTGGCCCATCTAAATCTCTCTTATCTAGTTTTGTTTATATCTCTCTTATCTAACTCCAAGTGAATAAGAATTCCTAGTCGCATTCAATGAGAGTTGCCATGCACTCATTGCTCCCTCCTATCCTTTTTGGCTCAACCAAAAACTAATAATAATTTTCTCTTGGGTCATATTTAGTTTGCAGGTAAGATAAGACAAGATAATTTATTTTATGGAGGGTATTCCGGTATATGTTATGTAGGCCTCTTAAACAAAATAATTCTACATATGCAGAATAAAATGAGTACAAAATAAATTATCATATATTATAAAATGTGAACCAAATCAAATAATATGATGAACAATATTTTCTTTGCCTAACAATCGATGTAGTTATTCCTGATGTTTCAAAAACTTCAGGAAAAAAATATACATCTTTGTCGGCACCTGAGTGCTATTGTTGATGTTTTTTTTTTTTACCGGAAGTTTTTAAATGCATATTGTTAGGATCTAATCAATACTGAAAACATTCCTAACATTAATTTTTGCTAAATTTTTAAAAAAACTCTTGGAAAAATGTTAGGAAGGCTTTCCCGATGATTTTCACTTTTCCCAAAATTTTGAAAATGCAGGAATATTTATTTATTTATTTTTGTGTAGTGATAAAAAATTAGGGACAAAAGCCATAACTGCTCCAATAAGACCACTTTATAGAAATGAAAAGATTAAAAGAGGACAAATTGACTTTATCAGATGAAATGAAAAGATATGGAAAGGCCCAAAGTCATTCGACAAATATTTAGTTTGATTTTTATTATTATTATTTTACGATTATTATATATATCTCAAAAGGCTTTAAACAAACATGTGGTGACCCTTGAATCCAAGTTGGGCAAACAATGCAATCCAATCATTTAAGTGCTTATCTTTTAGTAAACATTGCATGTTAGGTGTCCCCTCCATGCACAGTGGAGACTTAGACCACCATGTACCTACTTGTGTCACTGGTTTTGATTATTTTATGATTGACTATGTCTGTCCCATGATGATCAAATGATGAATATAGTTATCTAATTTATATAATTTGTTCATGTTAAAATATAATACATGAATTACATATAGGAAAATTTCAGAAATGATATATCTTTTTAATTTGGGAGTTTTAAAAGAACACTAATGATGTGGAAAATTAAAAAAAAAAAAGACCAAAATATCACATCACATGGGATCCACACACCAATTAAAACTATTAGAGCTAATTTAGAGCTTTCAATATTTCTTATAAAAATATATCATTTGAGAAAGAAAAATGTTGCTCCAATGAGGTGGCAATGGTGTGAGTCTCATCTTCATGTGATATTTTGGTTTAACTTTTCTTTTTTTTTTTTCGAAGGTGCTAGCTCAGTAGAGCTACTAATCACCACTGTTTGAGAAAATGTGAAATCTTACTCTTTTGATACTAGTAAATATGGAAAAAATTAAAAATGATTTTTTTTTTTTTTGATCGGCAAAAAGAAATGTATTGATATATCAAACTGTAGTACAATGTTCAAAGATACATCAAGAAGCAAAGGAGGAGAAAGCATCATAGCTTGAATAAAAGAATCTTAACCAGGTTGGCACCTAAACGCAAGCACAGTCATGTGCTAATCCAATGTGAGAAAAACATAATAGAAGGCAAGATGCCAAACTAAGTGCAAAGAGATTGAAGGAGAAAAACTACAAACAAAGAAAAAGAGACAGAAAAAACTTAGCCAATGGGAGTAGATTAGAGCTTTTTTTTTGCTTTAATTTTTTGAACCTCATGAATGTGAATATCGAAATCATGAACTAAAAAATCAAAGAAATTAGAATTGAATTTTGACCAAGTGGCTCTTTGGTTAAAATTCAACTCTGATTTCTCTCGAGATACGTGAAAGTATATTGAAATTGTAATTTTTTTGAGATTTAATGCTTCTTATTAGCAACTCTTGAGACTGCAATTAGCAAGACTCTTAATAAATTAGTGTTTAGGTGATATATATGCATGTTGTTATAATTATATCAATGGCGCTGTTTGGGAAGTGGCTAAAGAGGCTATTATAGCCTAAAATGAAAATTTAGCAAAAAAGCCCACTGTTGCAAGCTTTTTCAAAAAAAAAAAAAAAAAAAACAGTGCATAAATTACGATTTTACCCCTTGACAGCAATTTAAAAAAATATATTTTTAGGGACAAATTTGTCATTCTAATTTCAAACATCATTTCAACACATTTTTCAATACAACAACTCAAATAAAATCCATCTCATCTTTCCAAACATAAAAACCAAAATAACCTACTAAAATAGCCAAAAAACCAAATAGCCTACTAAAATAGTCACTTCCCAAACGAGGCCAATATTATGGTCCTCGCTTGGGTTGCCGCCTTCCCCTCGAAAGAGGACGTGAGCACTTGGGCTATACACAATGTGAAAATATACAAATTTAAAATTGAAAGGATGATGGGCAAAATAAAAATTGTATTCATATAAATCAAAGTGTATTACAGAATACTAACATACAATACAACAATAAAGGAAAAATATACATGCAGACTCTATCATAGGAAAATCATCCTATCCAAACTAGATTAAAATAAGAAGGCTAACAAAATCATATGCAAACACTTACCAATGACCAAGAGGTTAGTAAGGTACCAACTTAAAACCAAACTGATATTTACTGATATTATAACAAGTTAGAAAACATTTTGTTATATATTACTTTTATTATTTTCATTGTAGGATTTTCTTTAAAAAAATTAAAAAATAATTTTATTTTTAAAAAAATTGGTTGTTTACTTGTTTGCACAAGAATTTTTTTTTAAAAAACATAAATAAATAAATAAATAAAATAAATAAATAAATAAATAAATAAATAAGTAAATAAAATAACTAAAAAGGATGCTTTAAGCCTTCAATTTTAATTATTCTTGTTTAGCTCCCATGCAGTTACTCGAAATATATCTCTAATTGGTAAATCATGACCAAAAGTCTTAAGAGAAGCCATGTCCAAAGTGGCAAACACAACAAAAAGACTAATTAATATTAATAATCATTTGGCATTGTTTTATTCTCTTTTTTCTTCTTTTTTTTTTTGTTTTTGTTTTTTTTTTTACACAAAATCAAAAGGATGAAAACTCTAAAAATAAAATTATTTCTGATTTTTTTTCAAAATAAAAATAGATTTCAAAAGAAATTTTCCACACTTTTTTATGTATTGTGTTTATTTTCTATTATTCAATAATAATAATAATTTTAAAAAAAAAACTATTACATGATTTTTATTTCTCATATTACATCACAATATAACGGAACCAAATTAGTCTTACTCCAAAAAAAATATTATAACTTTCATTTAGTAAAAAGTTAAACAACTCCGTTTTCTTTTCCCAACTTTCATCCAGTATTATATTATATATGATATATTATCTTTACTTTTTACAAGAAAGGGAAAAAATTCCTGATCTTTTCTCCATAAGTGAAATATGACTGCTTTCCTTACACATCCACACCTTATAGAAAATGTAAAATTCAAAGGAAAGCTCCAAAAAAATTGAAATTATATTTATAATGTCTGTAATTTGCTTCTTGTATCAATTCAATCTATGTATCTTTGATTGTATCAATTTTGACCTTTAATTTTTCACATTATGTTAATTTAGTTTAATTCATAGCATTCATTAAGAAATTGAATAGAAATCAAAGGCAATATGATTTATTCAAACAGAATCATTGATCACTTTAAAGAGAGCAAATAGACTACTTTGTCTTTTGAATTCAGTTAAATTTTTAAAAAGACGTTATTAATTAGACTAAATTAACATAATTTGAAATTTTCAATAAGAAAATCGATGCAGTTATAATTATAGGGACCAAATAGACATGAGTGACACATTACAAGGACTACCAATGTAATTTGCTCAAAAATAAAAGCATTAGGGAATGTTTTGGGATATGCCCTTAGATTGGATTTGGATTTTTTGTCCCAATTTTCTATCCTCACTATTTTTCTCATGTTCCATATCATGCCACGTTCTTCCATTACAAGAAGGGCAAAAGAAATCAATGTGTTTTAAACAATGAAATGAAGATTGATTTCAAATAAAGGCGATGTATAAATGTATGAAGAATGGGATAGATAGGTGAGATAGACAGATGAGACAGACAATTAGGACAGACATTGGAAAAGACATGACAAGCCAAAAGCAAAATATGTATAGATTCCACATCTCACCATACAAAAAAATAATAATAATAATAATAACACAAGTTGTAAAATCAATTTCCAAAAACTTCACTATCACTTGATGGAGCTAAAATATATAAGTTAGGGCCAAGAAAAATCAATATTAGCACCCTAATTAACAATCTCCAACACACTCTTGTAATTACACACATACTAATTATGCTCTGAGTCTTGTGTATTTATGGTTCCAAACCAATCCCATCTATCTATGGACATAGCATAGAAAGGAATTGATGGATATGTGAAGCACATACAACTCTTCAAGTCTTAGAAGTAGAAGGTGGTTGATGTAGTTGTTGAAACAATGCAGCCATCCTAGTGTATGCATCCATGGTCATGGGCTGCCACAAAAATAAAACCAACACCATAATCAACCATTTACACTAATGTATATAGGAAAACAATACAGACTAGGAACTTTTTTTTATAGAAAAGTGTCTAAAATATTGTGCTGGCATGGGCAGAACCATTATAGGGCCAGTGGGAGCAATTTGAGGCTTTTGGAAATTTAATTTTGTTCTATTTTTCAAAATAGTTCCACTAAAAAGTTGAAAATAACATTTTACCTTTAGTTTTAATTTTTAATTTTTTTTTTATGATTTATCCCCACAAAAATTCCATAAATACATCTATTTTTATCTATGATTTGAAAGTCATTTTATATTTTCCTCAATAGAAATTTTTTTTTTTTTTTTTTCACAGTGGCCATATATATTTGAAATTTTCTTCATTTAAGATTTTGGATATAAAATTGTCAAATAAGAACAAATTTTGTATACAGTTTCCCCATAAATTCATCAGCAATGCTAGGTATCATGAAAACTCTTTCATGAAAATGATCATGAAAGATTTGTGACCTTTGGATTACACTTACAATAAAACACCACACAGTAATCAAGATAATCTAAGGGTCACAAATTTTTCATGATCATTTTCATGAAAATTTTTTCATCATCCCTAACATTTCTCTAAATTCATTGAGGATGGGGATCGCACTCCACCATACTGAAGGTGTAGTGACACTTTTTTATATTAAAAAAAAAAAAGGTGTGATCTATAATATTAGTGACATGTACACGTTAATAAATATTAACCTATTTGAATTACCTGTGGTTGGCATGCAAGGAATGCAGACATGGGGTCTGGAATCACTGTGGCTGGAGCAGATAACCGATCACCGGTGCCATCCCAAGAAGGTAGGGGCATGAAGGCTGTAGGGTGGAGAAGAGGAGGGATTCCAGCGATATTAGAGCGGCTGATGGTGTTCATGTCCATGACACCCATCCCCATCCCCATCCCGATGCCCATTCCCATCCCCATTGGAGCCATCATAGACAATTGGAGTTGTTGCTGCAAGGTCATTGGCATCATCATGGAAGACATGTTCATTCTACTCATCATCTGAACTTGAGCTTGAAGTTGCTTTAAGTATTCAATCACTTCATCAAGCATTGAAGCTTTATCAGTCTGAAATCAAATCATCAAAATTTTGCATATGTTTAGGAGGTCAATTCAACACATGGGTTGATTGGTCTTTTTGGTGCAAAATTGAAAATTATTACAAAGCAATAATTTAAACATGTGATTCAAAAGTATATTTTCCCAACTTTTTTGTTATGAGCTTATTTGAGTCCATTTTTCTCATAAATTATAAATAAAAATTATATCAAACACTTAATGCGAACTTCAAAAAAGTTATAATAATCTCAATAAACTGCAACAAACCACATGATTATTTATAAAGCACTAACTAATTAATTTGAGCATTGCTATTCTCACTTCAATTTTGGATAAATGCACTTCCTTATTATTATTATTTTTTAATACAAATTACCCTTAAATATACAAGCATTTCTGAAAATGTATCAACTATTTAAGGGAGTGACAAAAACAAAAATGGCAGTACGTTCATACAAAAGTGGAATTGAAATGTCACCACTCATTAAATTTCTTCTTTCAAAAAAAATCCCACATCGCCCTATTTGGCATACTTGATATAAGTGCACTTATTTGAGTCATATCATCTCTCTACTTTTCTGCATATCTTTTCGTAAAAAATCAAAATTTATACTTATTTAAATCATCCTAAATACCCCCATAATGATTTTTTTTTTACCAATATTGATGACTTAAACAAACATCTCAAACCCGATTTTTTTTAAAAAAAAAATTATTTTATTTAACTTATTTTGAGTTTAAAAAAAATAAAGTACAAAATAAATAAATTCAAACTATAGTTACTTAAAACTGTATTTGGTTCATGAATTTGATAAGGGATTTGGAAAGAAAGTGAAAAAAATAGTTGAAATGAGAATAAAATATAATTACATTTCACCTGCATTTTCACACACTTTTTCTCTTTTTCTTTTCAAATCTCTCCCCAAATCTAGCTTAATTGTAAAATTTTAACTTTTAAACTTAAATAAGTTACAAATTTATTATTATTATTATTATTATTATTATTATTATGACAAAGCCAATAATAGTCTACATACATTCCTACCATACTGCAAAATAGTTGTATTGGCGCTGTTTAGTATAATTTTTTTTTTAAATTAGAAGTTGGTAATCAAAAAATGGAAATTAAAAGCAACCATCTCCCAATTTCTAAATAATCAGTTTTTTTTTTAAACTTATTTAAGTTATTTCTACAAGATCTCGTTTGGAAACATATTATTTTAGTAATTTTTTTATCTTTTTACGAAAAGATATGTAAAAAGTAAAGAAAATGATATAACAACTTATAATGACTTTTTAACTAAAACTGAAGGTTGTCAAACGAAACCTTAAAAATAGTTGTATTGGCGCTGTTTAGTATAATTTTTTTTAAAATTAGAAGTTGGTAATCAAAAAATGGAAATTAAAAGCAATCATCTCCCAATTTCTAAATAATCAGTTTTTTTTTTTAACTTATTTAAGTTATTTCTACAAGATCTCGTTTGGAAACATATTATTTTAGTAATTTTTTTATCTTTTTACGAAAAGATATGTAAAAAGTAAAGAAAATGATATAACAACTTATAATGACTTTTTAACTAAAACTGAAGGTTGTCAAACGAAACCTTAATAAGTTATAAGTAGAAGTTGCACCAAACAATCTAACATAGCCTCCTAAATTAAAATAAACTATAATCAACTTATGGAAGTTGCAACAAACAACTCCACCAACTCCTAAGGTGAAAAATTAAGGTAAAATTATAATTTAGTGTACTTCTAACAAAGCAATTACAAATTCTTTAAAAAAAAATTATGACTTTAATTATTAATATTAGTAAAATTTACTACTAATCTATAATTATTTTTTTAAAATTACACTCATTTATAATTTTCTTGAAAATCAATAGATAAGCAAAGAGAAGTTATTTGATGATTCAACATATCATTGATATTAAGACACGTCTTCTATTAAGACAAAAAATAATGAATTTTATTATTTTAATCAATCAAATTTTACGGAGATATCACTTGTATTTGTCACATTAGTATAATATAATTTTCTCTAAGAATTTGGTGTACTTTGAACTCTGATTTTCTTTAAATTTCCTATGAATCAAAATATATATATATCTATCTATACTATTATAAAGTGAACACAAACTCTTATGGTGTCCTGAAGCTTTACTCTTCTCATGCCATGTGGTAGTATTTTTTATTTTTAAAAAAAAAGTTAAACAAAGAGATGGGCAAGGCTTGAACTCATGACCATGGGTTTAAGTACGAGGACTCATACCACTTAAGCTAAGTACACATTATATTATTAATTTCATTATTATTTATTTTTATTCCTACTTATTTAAATTGCACACACATCGTGTGTGCCACTCACTAGTATATATATATATACACGTATATAATTTTCTCTAAGCGTACACCATAAATAGGTGCAAAGAATTTATCAGAATTCATAACAATGATTGAGTTCAGAGTCGAAGATTTGAGAGACAAGAACAAAGGTACTGTGGTCCCAGCACTAGGGGTGGCATATTTATGTTTGTAGGATGAGATGGTCTATTCATACACCCTACAGCTGACCCAAATAATTAATAAAATGTTGTTTTGTGGACTAAAATCATTGGATGATTCCCTATGAGGACTACCCTTTGTACTCCTAAAAGAATTTGGACCACATCTTATTCCCAATTACTTTCTCTAGCCTATTTTTGGTGGCCGGACTCACGTGCTTAGATTTTGTTAGGTTTCTCTAGGATTTATTACACTTAGGCCATGTTTGTTTGGGCGGACTGGATTAGCATTCCCATGACTAATAATTCTGGGATTACAAATCCGTTGGATTATGTATCCTATCTTAACTAAAAGTCAAGTTTAAAATAATTAGTCCGTACTTCAATTGTTTAACCAAACATCGGGTTAATAATTTTATTGGACTATTAGTCCAATCCCAAACTCATGTCCACCCAAACAAACATGACCTTAGCACACTATGTTTAGCGGATTAAATTAGATAAGATTATTAGTGAAAAAATTATTAATGAAAAAATTATTAGTGAAATAATTATGTAAAAATATATTTATTTTGATGATAATGTAGAAGATGGTTACTGATGGAATTGTTAAATTATTTTTATATAAAATAAATAAATAAATTATTACTATATTAAAAAAACTAAAACAAATAGGTGCATTTGATCAAAAAAATAAAAATAAAAATATAAAATTTTTATATAAAATAGACTTAATCCCCTCACTATTTTTTTTAATCCCATCCAAAATTCACCCAAGTTAATCCTCCCTACTGAGGGGGATTAGCAAGCCGTTTGGAGTAGCAACTGCCTCCACAAGGAAGCCACCAAACAAGAGTTAGTGGGACCCACCTCTTTATTACTCTAATCCAACCTCCTAATCTCCCAAACAAACATGACCTTAAATCCTTTAATCTTTTTTATTTATAAAAAGTAATAAATTTATTTAACTAATTAAAAATTATAATCTTATGATTTAAATTTATTCTACATGTAAACTTTACACTATATAAATTAAATTTCAATCATACAATCTCTTTCAAGATAAATTTTGAATAATTAAAGTGAGGTACATAAAATTATTTATTATAAATTCGTATATGGTGGTGTTTGGCAAGTGAGTTGGGGCTAAAATAGCCACAAAAGACAAAACAGGCTATTTTAGCCACAACAAACAAAACATCACATCCAACCCATAATCATTACACTCTTCTCTCACAAAAAAAGTCAAAAAAGCCAAAAAGCCAAAAAGCCCTTCCCAAACCAAGCTTTTTAGCCCAGGCTAAAATAGCCAAAAAAACTAAAAAGTCAAAAAGCCAACCCACTTCCCAAACGGAGGCTATATCAACTTTTTCAATTATGAAAATCTTACATATACACTTCTTTTAAAGGCGATCTGAAAGGGTGAAAGTTTAAAGGGTTAAATAACATAGATTTATAGATAAGGAAGAGTGAACATTCAAATATTTGTCCTACATTCATTGGTGATGGTACTCCTAATTGATTGAAAATCATATGGACAGTTTTTCCATCTTGCAAATAGGGCATATCTTGTATGGACAAATTTTTTAAAATGATACCTTTATTTTCATGTCTTTCTATTTACTGATAATTGAGGGATCTTAGGGCTAGTTTGGCATGTACTAAATAAGTCAAAAAGTCAAAAAGTCACTATCTTATTTAAGTCACATCATCTTATTTAAATCACATCACCTCTCTAACACATCACATCAAACCCAACCCAAACCCAACACAAACCCACCAATAAGTCAAAAAGTGCACTTTTTTAGTTGGTTTGGTAATCTTTACACTATATAAATTCAATCTCAATCACACAATCTCTTTCAAGATAAATTTCGAATAATTAAAGTGACGTTCATAAAATTATTTATTATAAATTCGTATATATCAACTTTTTCAATTATGAAAATCTTACATATACACTTCTTTTAAAGGTGATCTGAATGGGTGAAAGTTTAAAGGGTTAAATAACATGGATTTATAGATAGGGAAGAGTGAACATTCAAATATTTGTCCTACATTCATTGGTGATGGTACTCCTAATTGATTGAAAATCATATCGACAGTTCTTCCATCTTGCAAATAGGGCATATCTTGTATGGACAAATTTTTTAAAATGATACCTTATTTTCATGTCTTTCTACTTACTGATAATTGAGGGATCTTAGTATAATTAATCATTTTTTTACAATAGGTAAAAAGAGGATTAAAAAAAATTTAAAAAAAAACTACATAATCCAATAAAGATTGCGTAGCACAATAATAAGATTCCTTTTGGCTTCGGCCTTCTTCATGCCAAAAAAATAATAATAATAAGATTCAAATTTACTGATAAAAAAAATAAGATTCAAATTTAAACACCACGTCAAATCAATTTAATTAGTATGCATCAGCAATGCTCAATGAAGCAACTTAGAAACAAAGCCATTGTAAATGTTTAAAACAAGAGAACTATGTGTCTCTTTGGCAGAAATTATAATCAGCTTATTTCAGTTTTTAATTTAATTTAAGCTATTTTAATGTGTTTGGTTTATCTTATAGCTTATTGCTTATAGCTTTTTGGAAGTCAGAAATCAGTTTATTCTTTGAGTGGGGCAGGAGATGCTTTAAGAATAAGTCAGAAATCAGCTTATATTCATAGTTATAAGCTATGAGCTGTTTAGGCATAAGCTATAAGCACTTTCCTACAGTTCTACCAAACATGACCTATGTCATTCACATAGTTGTTTTATTGCCAAACTTTTTTTGCATTAGACACAAAAGTATTGCTACGTATTACATTAATATAGTCCCAAGAAACTCTATTAATAAATAATTTATTTAAAACAGTCCTAACAATATAATTAATCTCTCTATTTAAATCCAACATAATGCATCCAAACCATCTAATTGATTTATATATGTATATTATAAAAAAATGTATAAAAAAAAAAATGGCAACACACCATTTGATGTGAGGAGTTTCTATCACATTTTAGCATCCTTCAATAGTTTTCAATTATTTGTGTATATTTATGTGTACATGCACATATCCATTTATAATATATCAAAACTAAAATCAATCATTTATAAATCAAGAAAGATAGGCACTGGGATATTTTCCCCCAACATTTACTTGGAACAAGTTTGTGTGGTCCAAATTAAACTTGTGTGGCCCTTCTAGTTCCTAATAGGGTAGCATAAGATGTGACCGAAGAGGGGTTCAAATTATAAGCATAGTGTTTTCCAATAATATCAAATTTTAAAGGGACAATTATCCATTGGTCTTATCGAACGGATTTATTTATTCATAAATTCTGAGTGAAAATTTCATAAATGTACAAGTTCTGTGAATGAGAAATTTATCTGTGTAATTTATCATTATTCTTTTTATTTATGTTTAGTTTTGAGTTTTATTTATTAGATTAATAAATTTATCAATGTAACTGGGAAATTTATCATTACGATAGTTGTTTGTGTATTAGCAAAACTTATTAGCAAAAAAATTCAATCCATAGGACTGACCCGTAATTACCCGAAATAAAAAAGGTTCTATTGAGCAAATTTAAAAATAAGAGGGAAACAAATGTTGTGCTAAATAATTTTATAAAATAACATAAAATGTAACTTAAAATATTTGTATTGATAATTGCAAACAAAATATTTACATTTGTAATTGCATATATTTTATCCCACATTTATACATTTTATGTCTGGATAACAGTAAATTTTTTCAAAAATAAAGAAAGAGGAGAGAGAGAGAGAATAGTATTCACACCTTACTAGAATTTGGGACCATCTTCTGCAAGGTCCTCATCCTCTGGTTGATCTTATCTCTTCTTTTCTAAAATAACCACACACATACAATTTTCAATATTAGCAGAAAGTACAGAATAAATTTTTCTTCTTTTTTCTTTTTTGTCTTTTTTCTTGGTCCACCGAAGAAAGAAGAGGGTTTTAATTATCTCTTCCAACACATTTATGATCGATCTGAATAATTGGTTCGTCAGTGTGCATTAAAGTTGAGCAATATCTTGAATTAAAAATAAATAAATACATACACATGAGTTTCCACGTGCACAATCGTATGAGAGAGAACTTAATTATGGGGTGTTTTGAGAAGTTGATAAAAAATTAACTTTTAACTTTTTATCAAATCTTTTGACTTTTTTAAAAAGTGATTTGGAAAATTGATAAAAAGTTGACTTTTGACTTTTTGAGTTAATAATTATTTATAACATCATATCAAAATAAAATGTCCAAAATACCCTTGCCAAACTTTGAAATTTTAGGTAATTTGTTAACATGGAGGGTATTTAGGTAATTTCACAAGGCAGCGTTTTTGTCACATCCCAAATGCAACAAATTATGTTTTCGACTGCCCAGCTTTTTCTTTAAACCAACAAAACGCTTGAGTTTTTGACTTCTCCCCAAAACGGCACTATGTACTCTCTCCATTCCATAATATTAATCCCTTATTTCATTTTTCATTATCTCAAAATATAAGTCATTTTTTAAAAATTAAGTATAAAAATAATACAAAATTTCTTATTTTACCATTCTTTTAAATTCATTAACAATATAAAAAATACAATTATAACGTTGATATTCTCTAAAAAATGTACTATCAAGGGTAATTTTGAAAAATTAATTTTTTAAAATACAATAATTATACTATTAAAAAAAATTAAATTTCTAAAAAAGAATCATTATTTTGGAACATAGTAATATCTTAAACAACAATTTTTTTTAAGAAAACTTTATTTAAGGCTTAGTTTGGCATCTTTAAAAAAATTGAAAAAGTTAAAAAGTCACTATCCTATTTAAATCATATCATCTTATTTAAGTCACATCACTCTCTAATACATCACTTCAAACACAACCCATACCCAACTCATATTTCATAAAAATTTAAAAAATACACTTATTTAGATCATACCAAAATATATCATTTTTTAAACATGATATACATTGGAAAATGTTAATTATATAGAATTCTGATATATATATATATATATATAAACATTTTAAATCTACATTCCCTTCAATCACCATCACCTTTGCCGAGTCCAGATCCCCTCCTTGAGCCCCCTCCTTCATTCCCTCCTTGCAGGGGCCTTCGGGTCCACTTTGAGGCCTAGTTTTGATAATCCGAACCGTTCATATTTTTAGATTTATTCAGTATATTATACCTGTAAAAAATCACATCTTTTGAAAAAAACCAAACCAAACAACTTTTCGTACTTTTTATCTCTAAAACACATCTCTCAAACACAAACCAAACATACCCTTTAAATCTACATTCCCTTCAATCACCATCACCTTTGCCACTCTGACTTCTATTCACGACTTTCAGTGACAAATTTCAATGATTCTACCACGCTAGGCCACTATTTGTGTTGAATTCTTACCACCAGCCATCTCATTCCTATTTCGCTTATTTGTTTTCAAAATATTTTTTAAGAAAAATGTATACTAAAAATATTTATTGTAAAAGAGATAGAACTATAAGCACTATCGAATGCCCTTGAATATATCGAATTTTTATGCTTACAAAATTCTGTATTAATTATTTTTAACATATTTACTATAACATATAAAAATTTTAAAAATTAACTGTTTTGATCTTTAAAAGTGAAAAAATTATTACAAAAGACATTTAGGAATCAATTTTTATCGTCATGAAAATAGTCGTTAAAAAGTCATCTCGAAAAGTCAAAAATAAGATTTTTAGAGACAAAATTTTGAAAATGTCACTAATAAATAGACTTTTAGGGACAAAATAATTTAATCTCAAAATGATTTATCTTTTTAGACAAAAAATTTGGTCCCAAATGTATAATAATTCATCACTAATGTGTAATTTTTGTTATTAAAAATATAATAACATTTTTCGCAACAAAATTATTTGATTCTTAAGAAATAATTTTATCCCTAAATTTTAATCTCTGAAATTTTAAATTTTTGTAGTGATCAGTCAAATAGAGAGAGAGAGAGAGAGTTTTAAGTTTGTACTTGCCCTAAACGCGCGTTAAATACACTAAGGTCATGTTTGTTTGGACGGATTGGATTAGCATTCCCATGACTAATAGTCCTAGGACTACGAATTCGTTGGATTATGTATCCTATCTTAACTAATAATCAAGTTTAAAATAATTAGTCCATACTTCAATTGTTTAACCAAACATCGGATTAATAATTTTATTAGATTATTAGTCCAATCCTATGTTATTAAAAATATAATAGCATTTTTTACAACAAAATTATTTGGTTCTTAAGAAATAATTTTATCCCTAAATTTTAATCTCTAAAATTTTAAATTTTTGTAGTGATCAGTCAAATATACAGAGAGAGAGAGAGAGAGATTTTTAAGTTTGTACTTGCCCTAAACGCGCGTTAAATACACTAAGAATATAGCATATTCAGTATGAAAGTGAATACAATAAAACTGTATATAATTTTTTAAACATTTTTAACATGAAGGACACATGTACGAATAAAATCCTATATATTATTTATTATGCATAAATATGTATATATATATAAATGCTAATTTAGAGGTGCTAATAAATGATAGGATAAGCTCTTTCGTGCCAACTTAGTTGAGATATTTTAATTCATTGTGATGTTCTTGTACTTCTCTCTTCTTTATTGGTATATTTTGTTTCGTACATTATATTTTATTCCTACATCAATAAAGTTTCGATTTGCCGATAATAAAAACAAAAGTCACCAAAAATCTTTCACAAAAAGTGTGTTGAAACTGTGACCTGAACATCAGAAAAACTTAAGATCGACCGGCCTTTTTGACCAACAAAAATTTTGAAATGATTTTCGAGAAACGTTTTTCATGACCTATAATATTACTGATATATATATATATATATATGAATATGAGTGAGGAAAAGAGAGAGAAAACATACACGTTCAGACTGATTATGAATGGCAGCTGCCCTACTCCTTTTAGTTGAGATTGAAGACTTTCTAGCTGCTTTCCTCTTGTCTTCCTCGTCCCCTGCCTCTCTCTTTTAAAATAATAAAAAAAAAAATGAAATTATTATTTTTTATATTAAAATAGATTAGACATGCTATTTTTTTTTTAATAACATGGGACATCCTAAATTAGACTCACTTTTATGTGAGTGGGTAACTATCTTGGGCATAGTGGATAAGGAACTTATAAAAGAGTGATCTATGGAGACAAACAAAATATTCAGCATTTATATACAAGATGTCGTGGTTGTACTTGGATTTATAATTTTAAAATAAAATGTATAAATAGAGTTTAGATTTGTTAAAGTAAGCAAAATTAGTGTATTATGGGACTAATATGTAATCATGTCAATAATTTGAACCGTTATCTCATATGACAAGTTGAGAAGAATATACATGAAAAAAATTAAGTTGATCAAACAAAAGTAATCATATGATCAAATCATATATATATTATAACAGATTGATGGTTTATTCTTAAAAATATTTAGGTCATATAGATAAAAATGATCTAAGTAATATGATAGTCGATAATTTTTTTAATTAGTTGCATAAGATGAATAGTTTGTTTAAATCACCTGCACCACGAAGTTAAGATCTTCCATTTTAACAAATCCGAACTCATTTATCACAAAAACACATCACATTATTTTGAGAATTCTATAAGAAGTATTTTCCAAATATAAACAGTTATCTCAAATTCAAATTTGAATTTGAAAGAAAACTCAATCCAAGAAATTATTCAACAAATATGTCTAGAATTCGAAATTTATAGTATAGTTGTAAGAGAATTACTATATATATATATCACAAGAATATATTATCAGAACTCTTCACTTCATATGTAATTTCTGTAAACAGCACAGTAAATTCCACTATTTTTTAAAATATATTACAGATTCTATATGTACATGTTGCTTGTTTTTATTGTAGGAGGCTTCACTTGGCGGAGGCATACAGCTAGTTTTATTTGTTTAAAAAAAAAAAAAAAAACTTAACTCGTTTCCAAAACTTATTTTTCAGCAAAAAATTATTTTAACTATTATAAAAAGTTAATAGAAAAAAATGAAAAATAATATATATATATATATATATGTCAAACAAACTTTTTTAGCATTATTATTATTTATTTATTGTGTAAATTTTTCTTAACTAATCCCCAAAGGAGATCATAAGTGAAGTGAAATAAAAAGAACCTGGCTCCTCTCTCGTTAGAGTGGTGAGTTCAACATTGGTGGATCTTAATTCGGGTCTATGTCGATAATTCAAATTGTTTAATATGTATAATCCATTAAGTATATTATCTTTGTAAAAAATCACATTGATTAGATATTGATAATCCCTTGATCAGATCACAATTTCAAATATATTTTTTGAAGTAAATCGCGACAGAAATACGACCTGATTAAGTGGTTACCAATATTCAATCAACATAATTTTTTAAAAGAATAGAATATTTAACGAGTTCTACACATTTGACAGTTTAAATTATCGACATGGACTCAGACTAAGACGCACTAATGCCAAACTATCCTCTACAGTGAAGAGGAGCCAGCTCCAAATAAAAAAGTAAAATAAACTTTGTGATAAACAGTATTTCTCTAACCTTGAACTTAATATTGTGAACTCACACAGATTCGGAAAGTACAAAAGTACCCCTACTACTGCTACTCGCATCCATACAACCAACCCCTTGGCCTCTCAATTTTTTAAAAAAAGTTAAGAAGGACTTAACATGGACTCAGACTAAGACACACTAATGCCAAACCATCCTCTACAGTGAAGAGGAGCCAGCTCCAAATAAAAAAGTAAAATAAACTTTGTGATAAACAGTATTTCTCTAACCTTGAACTTAATATTGTGAACTCACACATTTATATAGTTATAATTTATTGTGAACTCACACACTTATATAGTTATAATTTTTTTAATACAATGTTGAAAAGAAAAATAAAAATAAAATAAAAGAATTATTGAAGGTATGAAAGAATAAAAACATAGGGGACAAGAATATTACCTGGGGTCTACTATGACAAACGGAGTCATGGTCATCAGCAGTGGTGGTAGTGGCCTTGGTGCACTGCTTGGCGGAGCTGGTGTTTTCAGGCGACCCCATGGAAGTAGAGGTAAAACCACACACATCCAATTCCCTCTCGCCTGTGTCAATAGTCGTCAACTGACGACTGACACTGCCGCCGCTTACACTATTGTCCCTACTGCTCCACTCCACCGCTGCCACTGGCACACGCGCCGCCACCCTTGCCCGCTTCATCACCCCACCACCACAATCTCCGCCGTTGTTCTCAAAAGTGTTGGCCCCACTGCAGGACCCCACTGGAGTAGCGGATCCCACCATGCACGTGCTGTTGCTGGTTCTTTTCAGCACGTGCGTGGAGGTATCTTTTGCTCTGGTGGAGCACGGGACCAGAGCGTCCATCGTCATGGTAGCAGTGGCAGAGGCAGCAGCGGCACGGTGGTGGTGGTCAAACCATGGGACGAGGTCCTCGTTCATGGTACCGCTGCCGATGGAGGGTTTGAAAATGGGGCAACATGTGGCTTGGTTGACTATGGACTCTAAGGTTCCACCGGCGCGTGGCTTCTCCCAAGTGTACTTGGTGGTGGTGGCGGAGGAGGTGGGTGGTGGTTTGTTAGGCACGCGCGGTGTGCCTAAGCCATGCATGGCTAGCTGCCCATTTTCCCATGTTAGCTCCGCCACTTCATAGTCTAACCTGTAACCATATTCCACCACCACCACCGTCATCAATATACATATATAAATCTACACAAATATATATAATTTTGGACCTTTTAACTTGTAATGAACAATTATCGATTAGACACAACATTCTCTACAAATTTTTTATATACAAATTAGGTTTGTAATGGCACTACCCGTCAAGTGTAGTTAGCCTTATTCGAATGGTATACAAATAAAAACAAAAATATAAAAATAACTATACATAAATTATATACAAAATCGAATGGCTACAGAAAAGAAAAGAAAAAAATTATCATTTTGAAACAAAGTGTGCATTCAAATGACATTAATAAGAAAAAACACATCGTTGAATTATTTTAGTGACAAATTATATATAAAAATTCTGTCTAAATAACATTTTGTTCCGGAAATAATAGTATCAGTTGCCGACAATATATTATTGTATTCTACGTCGGCAACAGTTTACCATCACTCCGGTGACAGAGCTCCTCACAGACACACACACCCACACACACTCATATATATATATGGAGAGAGAGAGAGAGAGAGAGAGAGAGGTACATGGAAACATCAGGGGCTAAGGAATTGGAGTTGGAGTGAGCACGGAGGGTGAGCGTTGGAGGGGTGGGAGTTTCATCGATGTCCCAGCTTGGAACACACAGGCTCATCTTCAAGGGAAGTTTGTTGAGAGAGAGAGAGAGAGAGAGAGAGAGAGAGAGGTTTTTACACTGCTATCCTACGCTTTGTTGATGTTTTTGGTTTTGTAGAAGCTGCATGAGTTCAGAGGAGGAGAGAGAGAGAATTGGGTATTTATTTTGGAGATAAAGAAAATAATATTTGACAGAGAGGCCCATGGATTGAATTGAGAGAGAGAGAGACTGAGAGAGAGAGAGAGGTGGTTATGTCTAATTGGAAGCTAGAGGACGAATATCTGTAAAGAGATCTTGTGGGTTTTAGAGAGGTACTTTCAACTTCAAGTTTCAACTATTATTAAAAACAAATTCCCATTATCAAAGATACCATCACAAAATGTATCTTTATATACCTATCTATCTATATTGTTATAAAGTAGACAATCAGGGTCGTGTAGACGAACCTACTTCACGTTATACTGTTTAGAGTACTTTTTTTCACCTTAGATCTCGTTTGCGAGCAAAATATTTTAATAAGTTTTTATAAAAATATATATAATAATAATAAAATGATGTAATAATTTATAATAATTTTTTATTTTTCAAAAATCCCAACACAGGACAGAAAAAAATAAAAAATAAATAAATAAAATAACGTTTGCATGTGGAGCACAACAGAGTAAAAATTATGTGGCAACGAGAGGAGAGAGAAAAATACATATATGGCGGCAGTGGATGAATAGCTAAAATAAAGAGCATGGTTGGGGCAGAAACATGAAATCGTTGATAGGCAAAATAAAATGTATACTTTATAGTAATATTTGGATAGGTAAAATGCCTACTACCATTGGAGATGCTCTAAGGATAAATCTTTAATATCTTATCTCAATAAAGACAGATAATGGAATTGCTATAAATACCATAATAAAACTCACTCATCTGAATTAAAGAGTATTTTAAAAAGTTAATAAAAAATTAATTTTTTTGACTTAACTTAAAATGAGTTAGAGTTGACTTTTAATTAACTTTGCAAAAGAAGCCTGAGTTTTAAGCCTCGTTTGGGAACAGGCTAATTTAGTAACTTTTTGGCTATTTGGCTAAAAAGGTAAGTAAAAAAAACTTGTATGTTTGGGATGACTTTTTGGCTAATTACGAAAAGATGTGCAAAAAGTTATTTTAAAAAGTTAATAAAAAATTAATTTTTTTGACTTAACTTAAAATGAGTTACAGTTGACTTTTAATTAACTTTGCAAAAGAAGCCTGAGTTTTAGTACAAGAAAAAATCAACCAATTATATACAGTACCCACCTGACTGGTGGAGGAAAACTCAATCAATGGACACACAAACCAGAGTCAAGAAAACATACAACTGTAGCAAAAACACACCAGTCCCAAACATAGTCAGCACTCCTTGTAGCCCTCTCATGGATTTCAAATTACAAATTAAATCATTCACTGACAAATCCACCCTCTTACTATAGTGTGTGAGTAGATTTCTAACCATACTGTTAAATTAGTACTTAACTGGAAAATATTGGCAGAATAGATGACGCCTGAATGACCTGTCACAGAAAAAAAGATATTCCGGTAGTAGTTCGTCTACCCGGAGGCACTCTGACAATCAAGTTAGTTATCTCTCAAAGATAGCAAAAGTACTTAACTCACTATTCAGAATATAAAAAACGTACCTTAAACCCGTGGGGGTGCCTTCCTTTTATAGCCAACACAATCCTAGTCTCAATAGAAGTCTAGTTTCAATGGACTCTGGATTACTGCTAATCTTGGACTCCCAATAAGATTAGGATAAACTCTCTAAGAGTCTTATCTTAATCCAAACTGAAGCCTTCCCTCATTGTAAGACTCTTGTCCCTTATCCGCTTATCCCGAACTCCGATATTTTCGGAGATTACCTTGGCCTAGCAGAGATAACCTCGGCGTTATGATCAGGACACGTGGCATCTCGGTCACGTGTCGTCGTTCAAAATTTATGTCCCCACAATTTCCCCCTAGGTTCTATTACCTCGGCATCCTGAGGTGATGGAACCTATATCATTTCTTCTATCTAGCACGTCGGTTAAGCTCGTTTCAACTTTTATTGCAGAAGTCAGAACTCGTCGGTTCAATATAACCAAGACCTATAGTCTGCTTTCATCAATGCCTCAGAATCATTAACCAGGGTTGTTCAAGTTTCTCAGCCGAGATCATCCTCCCAGCTGAAGTCTTTGCTTCTTTAAATCAAGAACTTCAAAAGTTCTATCACGCGTGAAAACTGTCACGCACAACAAGCCAACCGTTTTAGCCACGCGTCTTCCTGTCACTGGATCATACTTGATACGCGCCTTTAAGTCGTCTTGCGTCTGGATGCGCCGTATGACAAGCACGTTGCCCTAGACGCATTAATGTACTTTGCCGCCATTCTCCGCGTTTGATCAAAATCAATTCTCTCTCTCCGTCTCTTCACTTTTGCATCCTCGTTCTCAGGCTCCCAACTCTTTCTCTCTCTAACTTCTCTCTCCCAAATCTGTCATTGTTCCAGATCTTCAAGCTCTGTAACTACTTTTATTCCTCTTCTCGGGTGAAGCTTTCACTGACCTTTTCCGATCGCAACCATCACCTAACTCCAGCGTACTCAACACCGGCTTCACTCCTCTGATGAGCTACTATTTCCTCCTGGTTTCCAGTTCTTGGTTCTCTTTGAATTCTGTTACATTCGTGCTCCGTAACTATGGCTTCGTTCTGATTTTTTTTTTTATTACAAATCTGTGTATGTGAACTCAACCATGCATTATTTACATCATGATTTTATTTTTTGGCCCAATCCACTCTTGATTATTCACACACTACTTACATAGCTGTTGATCTTTGCCACTGTTATTGGCCTCATACACCTGCACAAACTTTGTCACTGTGTTCTTGATGATTCGTCACTATTCTTGATTCTGAATCACGTTCCTGTTTCTGTTTGCCGTGTTTTTTTTCCAGATTCTTGCCTTCGATCTTCACTTGCCTAGACTTAGGTTTTGGGATTTTTCTTACAGAACTTACAAACCTTAGGAAGAATTGACACAAATTCCCCTTAGATCCATACAAACTCTTGCCATAGTACATTTTTAGGTTTTAGCCGAGGTCCCAAAAACCCTTTCAAAACACTTCATTTTAAAATCCAACACCTTCAGCCAAGCCGACGTCATGGTTATGTGGAAGCATAGGGTAGACACCCCGACCAAGTTGGAATATTTCAGGCAGGAGTTTTCCATTCCTGTCGATGTCCATCTCAGGTTGGCAGGAGAGGATGACTCTATTATGCCCACAGATGACTCCATGCCCTTCCCTGTTGTAGCTTTCATCGAGTGCAGACTTAGGCTTCCACTCGACATCCTCTTCCGAGAAATCCTTCATTATTATAAATTGAACCCAATGCAGCTCGCCATTAACTCTTATCGAGTTATCAACGGTATAATAGCCTTAGCCAAACAAGAGAATGCTAGGGTAACTTTAGCTGACATCCAATACTGCTACACCATGTGTGGCCTCAAGTTAGAGAAAAGCAACATTTACTACCTTAAGCCGAGGTTCACAGAGTACAAAATTGTTGCCGACCTCCCAAACTCAAACAAGGGAGCCGGGGACGATTACTTCATTGTCTCGGGGAACTGGGAGTTCGCTCCAGATGATGACCTCCACCTCTACCCTCTTAGCCGAACAGTTTTCGTTGAGGGTAATGGTAAGAGCCCAGTGTTAATACTTGTTTTCAAAGTCTTCAATACTTTGTTTTTTATACGTTTTAACGTTTGTTTTCCTTGTAGCTCTTCCCCAGCCGACAAAGGATTTTTGTAAGTCCTTTTTCCCGAGCAAAGGCTTGAAAAAGTTGTTAGACCTGCCAGTTCACAAGCGGAGAGCCCCCTTACTGGTACTTACAAGTCGGTCCTTCCCGACATTCCGAAGAAGAAGAGCAAGTCTCCTCCGTTCGCCACTACACCTCCAACAACGTCATCATCTCGGCCAGATCAGGGATCAACCTCTGATCCAACTGAGCAGCCATCAACCTCGGCTCCATATCTAATCTCTCCATCTCAATGTTGACGAAGACACTGAACTGCAATCGCTGCTGAGATGGGCCGCAAAAAGCAATCACGAAGGATCTCTTTAGCCGACATACCCGACACCGTCAACTCCCAGCCAGCACAGTCCTAGCCTCTACGAAAGCCAAAGCCTAAGAGATTGAAGAAAGCTCAGCCAAAGGCAACGGTGACTCAGATTGATACTGAGGACACCTTGCCAATTTCTAAGTTAGCTGAGAGCGAAAAGACCTCCTCCGCTGCAGAGAAAAGGCCCGCCGAGGCTAAACCAGCCCAATCAACTAGGTCGAAAAGGCCGAGGTCTAAGTCGGCCACAACCTCGGGGCCAATGAAACCAGATGCCCCATAGGCCCTCCCGATCACCATCGAGGACAAGTCGGTCAGAGCTGGCAACAGCGCGACTGACCTCGAAGTCGGCGTCACCCTCTTTACGGCTTTGCTTCTTCCAAACGATCTCAACTGAAACACCGAGATGAGCGACTATAAGAATTTCGCTCTGATGCTCCAGCATTCTGTTCAAGTAAGTCTTTCACACTCAGTATTTTTCTTTCTCCCTTCTTTCATACTCAGAGAATTTTACTAACTTTTATTTTGTTCATTTTCATTCAAGTGATTCAGCATGCCCACTCCTTCTTTATGCAAGCTTTTGAAATGAGGAAGGAGTTGGCCGACAAGATCAGGGAGGTTGATGGTTTGCAGAAGACACTGAAAAAGGCCAAAACAAAAATGAAGTCCTTGGTAGACCAGGCCAAGGCAGCCAAGCTAAAGATGAGGCCGAAGAAAAAACGAATGGTGCGGAGGCCATTAAGAAGGTTCTTGAGGCCCAGAAGAAAGAGGCCGAAGAAAAGACGGCTGAGGCCCAAAAAGAACTCCAGGATGCCTTGGCCACAAAAGAGGCCGAGATCAAGGCTGCTGACGATAAGGCATACGCTAAGGGGGTGGCCGATGTCACGGCGGACTATAAGAGTCTGGTGAAGCAGACATGCAACAAGGGTTTCACCCTTGGTTGGATGGCTGCCCTCAAAAAACTTGATGTCCCCGAGGACTCCCCCCTCAAGAACGCTGACGTCCTTCCCCTACCATTCCCCCATACTCCAAGCCAATCCGAAGACGATTCTGAGCCTGAGGAGGAAGCTTGGTGAGGAAAACGAAGGAAACTTCTGGGGCCAAGTCCCCTACTCTGAACGAGCAAGTCAT